ACAAGTAGTTATTTGAATAACTGTTGCCTTCCTACGTAATGTCACGCTACAGCGGCTCCAATGCAGAAGCCCACACAGATTTGAACTCAGGTGTCCTCTAACTGCTTGAGAACAACACTGATGTTTTTATTAAGCGATTGCAGCATTGAATGTAAGTTAAGATTGATATAAAGTTCCAGTATTGTCTTTCCTGATGCTGCTTTCAAGTCAAAACCCCCAGTTTGAACCAAACAAATCCTGACATAAAGGAGACAAGCTGTAACAATCTCTGATTTCCACACTGGGAGAAAGCCAACATCTGGTAGGAAATGATGCAGCGGCACGGTTGACAGGAATAAGATCGGCCAAGTCAGAAAAACCTAAAGGGTGTTTTGGAGTAGAGCCTGGATGGTGTATTGGAGTGTGTATTCACAGAAGGAAATTAATAATATTTTAGCACATCAGTGTGTGTGTGTGTGTGTGTGTTTGTGCTTGTTTTGGCTCTAGGGTTTAGAGCTAAATGAAATTACTGCAGTCCAAACTGATAAAAGCTAAATATGACTTAAACTTGTCTGCATCAAATTGCTGTACAAACAGCATTAACATTTACATTTGCAATGCTTCAGTCCGTCAGTCACTATCTATGATTTATTTAAAGGTTTGTGCATTAACTGTATGCACACAAAGCAGTAACAGGGGCCAAACTGTGCAGGACATTAAACCTGTATGACCGGTATTCTTAGGTAAGCCTTCTTAATTTGACAGCTGGGATTTCTCTGACTAGAATTTTCAAAAATGACATCCTGCTCCTTCAGGTAGACTCAAGCTTTTATGTTATTTTTAACCTCACAGGGGACAATAACGATGGGGGGAGAGAAAAAAGGCAGCAACGTTTGAGTTCCTTGAAATTCATTTCTGAGCATTCAACCGTGCAACAACATTATGCCCTCTTAAAATGAGGAGTACTCTGCTGTGTGCTTAAAAGGGAACCTCTGGTATAAAAACACACACACACACACTACACACACACACACACTCACACAAACACACACACACACACACACACACACACACACACTCACTCACACACACACACACACACACACACACATAAGCAGTTGCAGCCACAGCGATATAAATTACATATTTAATGAAAAGTCCCTGCTTCTAAATTCAAAATTTAACTTAAGGTAGGAGGGGGAAAGAGGTTTCAGCTTTCCAAGACGCGTAATTAGGACTGAAGCAGGTTATTCGCTGTTTGTTACTGCCAATAAGTCTGAATCTGAGCAATGAATAAACGCCTTTAAATCCCACTCGGCTTCGAGGCAGAAGTGTACAGAGGTCGTGCATGTTCAGTTAAAAAAAAGTATTTTATTCAATGGAGTTTGACTCTTTGCTTAATTCATTGACAATTCAATATTAAAGCAAATTCTTCCATCAGTGATAAGTTGGTTATTTGCTCTCCGATGTTTATAAAAGTAAAGAAAAACATAGTTTTGTCACCACTGACATGCTGTGAGGTTTAGGGAGCGTGAGTGGATTAATTACCCTACCTTGAATGATCCATAATAACATCAGCATGGCTTGGAGTCTTGTCTTTATCCCCATGGTGCCACATCCACCGGCTGCTCCCAGCAGCTTTTCTAAAGCTGGCACCAAAACACTCTTCGCACTTCCCTTTCCACAAGTGCTGCCCAGTTATCTTCAGGTAACAATTAATTGTCCGTTACACAAACATGCGAGGCGACGTCTGCAAACGAAGCACCCTCTCCTCTTCCCATCCCTATCATTAACAGCGGCTGACATCGCGGAGCGCACCGGCGTCTCCCCCGCTCCTGCGCTCCACGGATGTCAGGAGAGAAGAAAACATTCAAACTGTTCCACTTCCGTCTGTTTCTCTGCTGCTGTGCTGAGTCCGCTTTATGGAGGGATTACTTCTGCCGCACGTCTGTGCTGAAGTGTGTCGCTCCTTTTTGTCCTGATCCCACAGTAAACTGTAGGCGCTTTTTTCACCTGCCGGAGCTGCTCGGTGCCGCCCCCTGTCAGCAACGGTTACGCACTGTTTCCAAACTTTAAGCAGCTCGTCTTAGGACGCACACCAATCAGTGCTGCACCTTACAGTTTTCTACGCCCAGAGACTCCACTCATACTCTCATACGTTAAATAATAACCGCTGTTGTAACTGTTGTAACTGGAAGTAATTCTCAGAAATTCTCCACATGCCAAAAATGCTGTGTGTATTTACTGCTTTATTTTTATGGTATTGTATTATTCTGTGGCTTATGGGTAAGCACAGGCCTTCTTTCAGCACCTCACTGGTACCAGGTTGGACCCAGAACTGCCTTAATTCTTCACAGCACAGATTCAACGAGGAGACAGAGATTTTAGTCCATTTTGACATAGATGCTGCAGATTTTTCAGCTCCACATCCACGATGCGAGTTTCCCGTTCCACCACTTCCCAGAGGTGCTCTGTTGGACTGAGATCTGGTGACTGTGGAGGCCATTTGAGTACAGTGAACTCATTTTAATGTTCAAGAAAACAGTTTGAGATGATCCGGGCTAAATGACAATGGTGTGTTCCTGAAAGCATCTATCAGAGGATGGCTACACTGTAGTTATAAATGGTCAGCAACAATACTCAGGTATTTAAATGATGCTGAGCCTGTCCTCTGAATATTATAGCTAGAACTGAGACTCATCATATAAGGAAACATTTTTCCAGTCTTGTTGTTTAATTTTGCTGAGCCCAAGTGAACTGTAGCCTCAGGCTTCCTGTTCTAAGATGGGTTGCTGTAGCCCATCTGCTTCAAGGTTTGGCATGTTGTGCATTCTGGCATGCTTTTGTCTATACCTTGGCTGTAACAAGTAGTTATTTGAATAACTGTTGCCTTCCTATCAACTCGAAGCAGTCTGGTCATTCTCTGATGCCAAACAAGATATTCTCACTGGTTATGTCATGTTCAAAGTTGCTTAAATCACATATTTACCTCCCATTCTGATGCTCGCTTTGAACTTCAGGTCCTCCTGAACATGCCTAACTCCACTGAGTTGCTGCCATGTATTTAGCTGATTAAATATTTGGATTAATGAGCCATTGAACACGTGTACCTATCAAAAACGGCCGATTGGTGTCTGTGCAAACATACAATTCACCCCACTGAATATCAAGCCAGACTAAATTAACTACTAGCCTCAGAAGTTTTTGGTGTGACGATGACTGACGAAACTGATCACACTCTCACCACTGAGGGATCTTATCTTGAGTGCAGTGACAGCTGAAAACCACCACATCAAGCCTCAAGTCATATTTTATGAACTATACAGCGTATTATTCTTTCATATCACCAAAAGCCACAATGACACTCAAGGAATATGTTGGACTGAAAAGAATCAAACCAGCCTAAAAAAATAAGGTCATATACACTATAATGTTTTCTTCCTTAACAGTGTGTTAAAAGATTTAAAAGCGGGGTTTGCAAAAGCAACGAGAAATGTCAAACTTTAATGAAAGAGGGATT